CTTTTGTTAAGTAACTACATTTTCTCCTATAGGTACCTAAAAACTCTAGGGTGCTGAAGCTTGCTGGTGGGTGATTTGTGAATCCATCACTTTAGACTTGGGCCATATTCTGTTCTGTTTAGCTCAAAGGACATTTCCCCCTGATTTGAAGTGTTAATTTTGATAAACAGCTATAGATAAAAAAAGAAATAAAACTTGTATTTTGCGGGTGAGGAAATGAAAACACTGGGGAAGACTCACATCACACTGTGGAGGTAGGAAAGTTAAAGCCAAGAAAATAACCTCACAGTCTTTAATTCTTTGGACAGTTCATTCAGTAGCTGCATACTGTAACACTGTAAATTCTTTATAGTTCATTTATTTGTTTGGTTTGCATTCAGATATCCTATGTCCCAAGAAAAATGAAACAGGTTTACATCACTTTAGCTTTGCAAATTTTATTCTGGTTCACTACAAAATCACCTAATTATTCAAAATCCCAAGAAACTAAATTATCTGAATCCAGGCAAATTTTCTCCTTGCAAATGCAATGGACACTTTGTTCTCTAATTGATCCAAACTGTGCTTATCCAAAAGGCAACAATTCTAGGTTGAGACAACCGATTAGCCATTTTAAGTAGATCCATAAATAAATCATGCAACCCTGACAACCTAGGAATCAGTATTTTCAAAACACAGGTGAAAATTAGAAAATAGGTTCTTCAATTGAACAATGAGGGATTTTGGTGCATTTTATCTGTTTTTTAGGGTAGCTAAAAAACCCAACACTATATGCAGAAGATACCATAAGTCCTCACTGCAGATAAAAATTACAAAACAAGTGATTCTTTCAGAATATAAGTGGGATTCTTCTCACCTACTTCCCTGTGTTTACAATGCAGTAGAGCTTACTGATCTTATCTTCCTTTTATAGACTTTGTGGGTTTGTCTGGAATAACAAACTAAACACAGCCTCAGCACAGACGTGAGCTCTGCCCTGAAATCTTCCACAATGTTAAAATGTAAATATAGTCCCTTGTTTGATTTCAGCCTGGTCCAGCTACAGACCATGCCTGGCTTAGCACAAGCCAGGGAATGTTTGGAAAAAAGCCACCCTGCTCTGGAAAGCAAGAGAATTTAGCTCTGTGGGTGAGAGCCATGCCATGGCAGCTGGCCCCATGGCTGGAGAACTGTGCACCAGAATACATGGCACCTTACCAGTCTTACACCTGGTAAGAGCTGTTTGCATGGTTTCCAGCACCTTTCCAGAAGTTTGTTAAGCATTTTTCTTTCTAGCTTCCCTACGGGGTATAGAAGTATAAATATTCTCAGTTTACAGGTGGGGAATTGAGCTCCAGATATCTGTACTGCCTATTGCAGCTGTGCTTGTGTTTCTAAGTTTATGGAGCCAAATAGCTGACATCAATTGTGCCTACACTTCCTAAAGATTCAGTTACCTGAACTAGTACTGCTGTGTTTGAGCTTTCATGCTTGGAGAACCAAAAACACTCACAAGGAGTTATATGAATTAGACTTTTCTCTCCTAGATTGGAGGTAGTCTATTGCTTCTGTCAAAATACCACAATAGGAGGATGAGACAGTGATGTACCCCAGGAGCTAGTGCATTTGTACAAGATGTATGAGTCTTGTGATATACAGACAGGAGATGAGGGGATGGAGACACCCCTGTTCTCTCATGCTGGAACTGTATCATTTAGCAAAGGTCAGAATACAAGAGGCAGAAGCAGTGAGAACATCTCTGTTCATCAACAACCATTAGGCCATGAGACAAAGCTCACCACTGAGGTACTAACACCACAAACGCAGTGTGAGGCATTCCTATCCTGGGACCAAGTAGATGATGAGGAACATGGAAATTTATATCATATGAAGAAGTAGGTGAAAAAGAAACACACCTGGAGCCTAGCTGAGCACCTAATGATGCTCTTCAAATAGGAAAAATAGAGGTTCATCTCCTACTCCACTGAACACCCAAGATAAAGTGTGAAAATACTCAATGGCATCCAAGAGTTCCTTCCTAGAGATGTGCATTGACCACCATGCTATGGAATCTTTTTCTCTGACTCAAAGAAAATCTGGAAAAACAAAAAACAGGAGGGAACCAAAAGAATTTTCCCTGAAAAATTCCCCACAGGCTGGTTGGTAGGGCTTCCCTGGGAGATGGGTGCATGATGTGGATTCAAATCACCTCTGTCAGAGAACCAAAGTCTTTGTTATGCAGGACAAGTGAACTAATCGTGAGTCTACTGATTGATACCAAGAGGAGACAATTGGATAGAGAAGAAAGTGCTATCTGCTACTTGTTTTCTTTATATTAAGGTTAACTTGTTAAACAGTCTCTAAATATACCTAAAAGGTTTGAGCTTAGCACTTAGACGGGTAATTACTGGATTCTGACAAGGCTCATATGTGCGGGAACATCCAACTACTCAGCACAGTCAAAAGAGAGCGCTCTGGAGATGTCCACAAGCAGGAAAGCAAAAACTCACCTCATCCTCAGGCCCTTTACTCGAACCTTCATCGAATCCACAGGCAATGGTGTATGGTGGAAATGGTTCTGACCAATATGCCTCCTGTGTACAGTTTCTCTGAAGGAAGCCTTTAATGGCAAAATATATCAGAGAATGAATTATAGAATAGAATCATAGAATCATGGAATCATAGAATCGTTTAGGTTGGAAAAGACCTTTAAGATCATCCAGTCCAACCATTAACCTAACATTACCAAGTCCACACTAAATCAGTCAAGGGTAGACTAGACTAAACCATGTCCCAAAGTGCCACATCTACCCGTTTTTTGAACGCTTCCAGGGATGGTGACTCCACCACCTCTCTGGGCAGCCTGGTCCAATGCTTGACTGCTCTTTCCATGAAGAAATTTTTCCTAATATCCAATCTAAACCTCCCCTGGCGCAGCTTGAGCCCATATTTCTGGTTATAGAGGGGGGTGTTCTTTAAGTTTTGACAAGAAACAACAAATTTTTATTCCTACTTTGATTCTTAAATTAGGCACTTACAGGTCTAGTCATGTTCAACAAGATTAGCTACAGAGTCATAATATTCTACATATCTGTCATTTGAAATGTTGAGACAAATGTTCCCATTAATTTCAAGATGCAGTGGAACTTCTACATTTCATATAGGAGATTTGTTCTGCAAATTCAATGGTTACACAGAGCAAATCAAATTATGCAGTCTATCCTGCATTTACAATGTGATTTGTGCTTGCGGACAAAGTCCTGAGCCACCTGATCTAGCTTTGAAGTTAGATACAATTTTTGAACTTCGTCCTGCTCTGACTGGAGGATTGGACTAGATGACCTTTCTAACATGAACCATTCCATGACTTTATAAATCATTGATTCTATGACATACTTATATTCCTTCATAACCTTAGCAACACAGTGCAATTACCCATGTTTTTTAGACCACCAAAGAGACTAGACAACTAGTACAGCATAACACAAAATGGAAGAGCACTAAATATCGACCATAAACCAAGATGTGTATCTGGATAATTACTCTGTGTCAGCTGACATAAAATAGTATTGTGAATCAGGAAAATAAGCAAGTTACGGAATTTTTAACTATTAGTTTTTTGGGGGGTTGTTTGGGTTTTTTTCCAAATTATCTAGGGATAAAAAGAATAAAAAAAAAAGTCTTGCCATGGATATTGGTGATTTCTTCAAAAAATCTTGGACAGGGAACTTTAACCACTTCCCCAAAAGTGGCTCTGGGCCAGCAGGTTAGACCATCCCAATCTCTGGCGCATCCTGAAAAAAAAAGTACCTCTAAATAAAGAAACGTACACAGAACATCAGAACATCACACAGTTGATCTTCCATAATGAGATTGTCTGTGGCTTTCCCACTAATTCACATGCATGAAGAGCAACAACAGGACATGCAACTCTGCACATGAAGGATTGCATTGTTTTCCCCTTCTCCTTGAATGCATCGTCGCTCACATATGCACTTGGCATTCCAGCTGGACCTCCCCCCACCTTATCTCATGAGAGATGGTACCTGAAATTCAAGCAGACACAATCTGAAAGTCAAAACAACTGGAACTCCTTTTGTTGTCAAAACAAAAGCCGCCAAAATCAAAATATTGAATAATTACTAGCACTTGAGATTTCTCATTACTGGTTTCAGAGTCTAACTGAAAAACATCAGACTTAAGAGCCTTAGTCTCAATTCCATGCTTAAAGTCCACAATTTCACCTGATTTCAAGTAAATAAGGGCTGAAGGCCTGGTCTTAGGCAATCAATGGCATTTTTACAGTGGACTTCAACAGGGATTAGATTCATCCCAAACTAGAAGAACATCTCTTAGCATCATATACTATAACCATCGTCAGGAGTAGGTCTGCCTGGTTGGCATTCATGAGGTTCCCTAAACCAGAGGTTGCTAGCTGGTGACACAGGGCATGCTACTAGCTATGAGTCTGATAAAAAGGGTTTTGAGAAGTTATAGTTAATCACAGTTTTGTCACGGAAGCATCACATTAAGACTCAAGCTGTGGTCACACAGTGTCTGTTGGCAAGTAGCTGTGGGTGCAGCACAGAAAAATTATCAACATGTAAAGGTGCCTGAAACAATAAAAAAAGCACCACGCTGTAACTGAAACTAATCTCTAGATAGTCATAAGGTGGATATAAAGCAGTGCATGAGTTTCATTTGGGAGGTGTTATTTTCTTTCACTGATTCTGTTCTGTTTCCTCTGTGACTGATGACAAGGCAAATCTAAAATTGTCAAGAGCTGAAATGTGGAAGCAATATTAGTTGCCTGTAGCTAAGCAAAGTTACTCTCCGTCTTCCGAAAGGATAGTCCTGAGAATCTCCCACAGCATTATCCTCACATCACCCTCGGGAGGATGAAATTCCTGGTAACCCCAATTTGCCAGATGGGAAAATAGAAGCCCTGATTCATTATCTCTAATTTTAATTGTCTAAAATACGTTAGCTGATCTTAGCTATGTTCCCTCTGTAATCAGTAGAAAGAGACAGGGACTTCCAGCACATGATTCATCCCAGATATTGGCGGCTTCTTTCTGAGGACGGGATGAATCACTGGCTGCAAACACTTAGGTCTCTCTGATGATTACAGCCTAGACTAGGCTGCTAATTTTCAAGTGAATAAAGTCAGGTAATATGAGTCCCACGTAGACATGCAGTGGCCCACACACCTAGACTTAGGGACTTAGAGGGTCCCTCTTAGAGGAACTATAGTACCTTGAGGAGCTGGGTCTAAAAATCTATCGCATTTGACAATGTGGGGTTAAAAACCAGAATCATGTGATGTTATGTAGGAGTGGAAGCTGTATGGTTTAAGTCTTAGACCTGGCTTCATTTCCAGTGAATTCTACAGCTTATATCAGAGAAACCGCTGAGTGCAGAGGCAGCAAAAGTGTTTTACATGCCAGGGTTTTCAAGAGACTAATGATTGTCCAAGTCACCTGGGACTCCATCAAGACAACTGCAGTAGGAATTGTGTCAAGTAGTGTTGACATCATAGATATTTAAGTCTTCTTCAGTAACCCAGGGCTCTTTCTTTTTTAGACAATGGTGAAAAAATACACATTTTTAGAGCTTGATTCAATTGACCTATTTTACACATCTACTTCAAGATGAGAGGAATTGCACCCTGGACTCTACTGATGACACTCATTAGACACCGCTTTGTACAAGAATAAAGTGGAACTACTTTAGACTGAAAAATCTGCAACATAGACTAATTCCAGCTTGGATTCTCTGTGAGTGAGAAGTAACTGTACAAATTGTAATCCTTCAGTTTGTCTCGTGCAATTCCTGAAAAGTGAAATGCAAGCCAGTGACTTTTACCAATCTTAGTCTAGTTTTAAAATACCCAAGATAAAATATTTGGGATTAATTGTGTTTCCAGATCTAATGTTTCATTTTAAACTATATTGAGAAAGGCTCTATATAGCAGAACAGATTTTCATTAAAGTTTTTCCATCTCTACAGAATAAAAGGTGGAAAGTGGAACTCTGAGAAGATCAGAGTTGACAAGGTTAAGATTTTTAAGTAGTTTAACAAAAGTTTCAGGTTTTTTGTTTCCTTGAGTAGCCTTTGCTACAAAGAGGATTCCCAAATCATGTAGTTATTTTTCTGGTAAAGAGAAAAATACTTGGAATGTCATACTGTAATGAATGTAATAAATCATTACTGAAAATGATTGATTTTTGCCAGAACATTTTTGGGTGGGTTACTGGGTGTTCCAAGTGCAATGTGTCCAGGAGGTATTCTGGACTTGATTAAAGGCAGGGAAAAATACCACTAAAATAGAGTAGGCAAGTACAAGAAGGGTATCAGACATCAGAGTGATTGGAAAAGCTGCAGAAAAATAGATAAGAAGATAAAGGAAATATCCTGGGTGTTAGTCTCTAAATTTCAGTAGGCTGCTAAAGGCAGACTTCCAGATGGTTGCGATACTTCTATTCATACAAGTGCGTGAGGCATCTTTGTCTCATAACTCCTCTGCAGAAAATAGACATCTGATAATTCATGCCAACTCAAAAATGTCACTGAGGTGGATTCATACTTTTCTAAGGAAAGTTGGCCAGAAAAAATATAACAACTTTTGAAAGAGTTTGAATATTTTGAAATTTCACTTTGAATCAGCTCAAAACATGTCTCCACAATGCCAAAACCCCAGGAAAGAGAACCCCCTACACAACATTTAAAAAATATTTTACAGGCTCTCTGAAATGTTCATTTTAATTTTCAAAATTTATATTTGAGAATGTAATAGATTTCAAAACACCACTACAATAAAACAAACAAACAAAGAAACAAAGAACCTCCAAAACGTAGAAATAGAATATTTTGAAGAAGTTGAGATTACTTTCTTCTTTTGTTTTTTCACAAAGAACATTTTCACCAAATTGGAATGATTCCCAACACAGTATAATTTCAGCATTCTTTTCAGTGTCTTCTGTGGAAGCTTCTTTGCAGTTTTGGATATAAGTAAAGAACACACCATATACTTCAGGAATGTAAGACATTCTGAGTAGGGTTTTCCTGCCCTTACTAAGCATCTAAACTTCTCAGGGTCTGAACTAATCATCTTAGTCTCATTCTGTAGTTAGTAAAGAGAAATATGACTCCAGAGAATGTTTCATCTCATCCTAAAGTAAGCATCTAAACCAGAGGCAATGAAACATATTCTAGAGAAACCCATCTTCCTCCACTGACTTTAAGGGAATCTAGGAAGACAAGTCCTGACTTAGACATTGAGCTTTTAAAGGTGTCTAAAAAGAGGTGAGCTAAAGTCCCAGCCTATAGAAAAAGCACTTCAAACTATTAAGAAACCAAATAAAATAGGAATCATATCTTGACTAGGAGAACAAATGATATCTTGACACTGACATTGCGCCCCTGAAATGATACACAAGGGATATTCATATCAGAGCTTGACAATCAGGAACGTTACCTTTAAGATCAGGTGAAACAGATTCATTCTTTTCTAAGCAGAGAGCCTCCTCTTTGACCACCTGCTGGAATATCTTGCATTCTGGATGGATTGCCGCAACCTCAATGAGAGAAAGACAAAACAAACCGAGACATTCTGTGATTATTGGAATGAGAAGATCCAGGTTTCTTTCCAGTTTGTGCCTTGTGGCTGATGCTTTGAGGTCTAAGAGTGTGAAAACTCCAGCTGAAGATTTTTCTGTAAAAAGAACAGGTAAATGGCAGAAGGAGGCTGTGATATCGTACATTTATCAATTTGTGCACACATCTGGATATGCATACTTGTATGGATTCTTCAGTATATCATAACAGTCAAGCTCACATAGCACCTCTTCTCCAATCTGGACATTTATACCACCTGTCTTTTACACCTACAGGTTTCACAACACTTAAATGGATTTCACAGTCTTTGGATCTTCCCCTCTTTGTCAACGGGCCAAAATTGAATGAATCCATCAGCTATGGGAATATTCACACTGAGTCCCCCAAACATACCTGCAGTCTGATGCTGTAAAATGAATAAAAATAAATAAATTTCTTCAAATATGTGTGTGTGTGGGGGGGGGTG